ATAACCCTGATTAGCCAATGGGAAGCGTGTCAGAGGTATGGTTAATTACCATGTTTGTCTATTATTAGATAGGATTATGTATAAAGGATATTGTAAAAGTTAAGTTACAAAATTTTTATTAAAACACTAGAGGCCCAGTGCATGAAATTCATGCATGGGTAGGGTCCCTAGCGGCTGCCCCCTGGTGGTCAGCGCACATCATATGAGCAACTGAACTCCCAGGGGGACACTTTGCATATTATATATATAGACTAGAGGCCCAATGCACGAAATTCGTGCAAGAGTAGGCCTTCACAGCCCGGCTGCCTCACCCGCCCTTGCATCCCCAGTTTCGTCTGGAAGGTCATCCAGACAGTTATTCTGCTGTTCAGCTGTTCGGTGGATTTGCATATTACACTTTTATTATTATAGATTTCGTACATACCATGATATTGGCTGGGCTGCAAAAACATTCATTGTGGGCCTCGAGTTTGACATGCTTGGTCTAGGCAGAAGTCTTCTAATGAAAGTCAATAAGGAATATATGAGAGGGGAGGGAGCTGGTTGAGAAAGTGCCTGTAAGCCATTGCCAACTGTTGAGTTTGGGGTGAAGGGAAGGAGAAAGGGTAGTTAGTGACTGCAGGGAAAGAGGGTTATTTAATATGGTAGACACAGAATAATGGTTCCCCAAAGATGTCCACATCCTAATCCCTGGAACTTGTGAATATGTTACCATACATGGGAAAAGAATTTTGCCAAAATGATTAAGGTTCTTGGAGGGGGAGTATATTTTTGAGTATCCAGGAAATCACAAGATTCCTTATAAGGGAGAGACAGAAGATCAGAGGAGAGCATGCTATGCTGTTGGTTTTGAAGATGGAGGGAGGGGCATGGGCCAAATAACAGCGTCTTCCTTTGGTGGAAAAGACAAAGAAAAAAAGATTCTCTCATAGACCCTGCAGAAGGTATGCAACTCTGTTGACCAATTTAAACTTCTGGAGTCAAAACTATGGGATAATAAATTTGTGCTGCTTGGAATCACTAAGTTAATATAATTTGCTACAGCAGCAAAAAGAAACATTTAGTTTGCTTTGTTTTTTTTAGGTAAGGAAGCTGAGGGACTTTATGACTTTAATTAAATTTAGTTTTAAATCCTACTTCTAGAAATCATATCTATCTCTATATATACCCCTCAGAGACTCAGGCTTTCCCCCACATAATCAGCAACCCCCAAGGCAGAAGACAGTAGCCTAGACCTGACAAATGGTCACACCATCTGGACCTCTGGCGGGCTAACCACAACATCTTGACCCAAGTTAGGTTTCAGTTCCTGAGCCTTAAGGTGGAACCACCACTGGCTATTTTCCCATGAGACCAGACAGAGAGACACTGGAAAAGACTGCAGAGCTGTCCTCACGACCTGAAGAGATGATTCACTACCCTTACTCCACCTCCAACCAATCAACTCCCAGCTTAACCCAAACCCCTAATCCACCATGTCTTGAGATTTTGCCCTATATAATCTGTAACCTACACGCCACAGAGGAGTTCCAGCTTCTGAGCATTCGCTTCCCATTCTCCTGGATGGTGCCATTCATCAATAAATTGGTCTTTCTCCACTGCAATTCTCAGGCTCTAGTATTTGGCTTTGCTAGAGCCAAGTGAACAAACTCTTCCTGTTCTATAACCACAGTAAGAGGAGCTTGAACATGTTTATGTACTAAAGAAGAAATAGAAGCGAAGCTCTGAGGGAAAAACAGGAAGACTTATTTAGTTTGGATAATAAAATTGAATAATCAACTATGTGCAAAGCATCAAATACTTGGGTAAATTTTCTTTCTCAAAATGCTGCATGACAGAAATTATACACACTTGACACATTAAAAAAATGGCCAAAACTCCTAGGATTCAAACTTGAATCTGTTTGACCCAAAACACTATACTGAGAAACTGGGCTGACACCACCATTCCAAGTGATCTAGGACTAGGTTAACACCACCAGTAACAGGACATACCAACATCACACACTCTTGGATGTAATGTACTGAGAAGGATACCTCACCTTTGTGGCATCCCTCTGCCCAACTAATGCAACACCTTCACCAAATCACAACACCAAACACACTGAAGGGGGGTTCTGCAAAACAAGTAGCAAATACTCTTCAAAGTCTCAAGGTTATAAAAGACAAGGAAAGACTGAGGAACTACTACAGATTGAGGGAGACCAAAGAGACATGGCAAAGCAATATGGAATCCTGGGATAGATCTCTGATTTAAAAAAGGGCATTAGGTGTTAAAACTGGTAAACTCAGAATAAAGTCTGTAATTTAGTTAATAGCATTGTATCAAAGTTAATTTCTTAGCTTTGACCACTATATTGTGGTCTCAAAATAAAAGTTATTTTTTTAAAAACCCATACTGCCTGGCTGTTGTGACTCAGTGGTTGAGCATCAACCCATTAACCAAGGTCACCAGTTTGATTCCCAGTCAAGGCACATGCTCAGGTTGCGGGCTCAATCACCAGTATGGGACATGCAGGAGGCAGCTGATCGATGATGTTTCTCTCTCATCAATGTTTCTCTCTCTCTCTAAAAATCAATAAAAATATATTTTAAAAAATAAATAAAAATAAAAACCCAACACTATATTGCACTGCTTCTATAGGAGCAGGACACTTATATAACTATGGGTCTAGCTATTAGTCTACTCAAAACTAATTTACATAGATTGAAAGCCTAGTTCAGATTCTGATTGTTGGTTAACAATAGCATGCCTATTGTCCCTGAATTATCTGGCATCCTGGTCCTCACTCCTGACCTAGACTGCTGCCTTAACAATTGATCTCTGACTCCTACCTTGTCCTTATCACAGGTTCCAAATACCACATCTAATCCCTGATTATTGTAGTTTTCTACAATAATGTCTCCCTGGGAAAGCAGCTAAGTGAGGACAGGTGGGTAAACCCAAAAAGTGCAGGATATATTAGGTAAGTCAGCAAAGTAACCTCAAAACATAATGTATTAATAAACATCATCTTCTCTTACATTTCACATCTGTAAACATATCTCCATAAAATATGAACATGAAAAGAAAATACAATAAGGAGCAGCATAGCAAAAAACCTTCAAAATACAAAACAATAGCTCATAAAAGCAAAAATTTGATATATACTTTAAATCAGTTTGCTCACCTCTCATTTATTCCAGTAACTGCAACTACATGCCAGTATTATTTACATTAAGATGATTATTGCTAAGGAGTGATCAAAATACATACACTATTTTGAAAATATTTATTTAGGCACTATTATGAAGTAGGCATTGCACAATGATACTTAAAAGATGGGTGTAATCTAACTTGTTTTTAATTCCTTTGGCTGTTAACTCTATCCAACAATGAGAGATACTAGTATTTACCTATGCCTCGACATTAGGCCATGTAGATCAGGGAGTTCCCATAGAATTACACTGTAAACCAGGGGTCCTCAAACTTTTTAAACAGGGGGCCAGTTCACTGTCCCTCAGCCCGTTGGAGGACTGGACTATACTTTAAAAATAAACTATGAACAAATTCCTATGCACACTGCACATATCTTATTTTGAAGTAAAAAAACAAAAAGGGAACAAATACAATATTTGTACTTGCATGTGGCCTGCGGGCCGTAGTTTGAGGACCCCTGCTGGAAACCATATATGTAAGTTTAAATTTTCTAGTAACTGCATTTTAAAAGTGAAAATAAAAGGTGCAATCATTTCACTATAATTCATTTAATCCTGTACATGCAAAAGTTATTTCAACATGTAATCATACTGAAAAAAAAGACATAAGATACTTATTTTACTTTTTGCATAATAAATCTTCTAAATCCACTTTGTATTATATTATATACTTCCGCATCTCTATTAGGACTAGCCACATTTCAAATGCTGAAGTGCCACATGCAGTAAGTCACTACTCTACAGGACAACACAGATCTAGATGCTAGTTAGACAAAGATACATTCTCCTTTCTCTGAACTCTATCTTTTCTTTAAACAATGTTACACTATACCTGCTAAGAGAAGCAAACACAAAGAATGATGAATTAAACTGAAAACTCCTTTGGAGTGCAAGCTTTTGGGGTGTTTTAGTTAAAAGAAGACATGGTATTGTGCCCTCTTCTAAAAACAAAATACATTTTTAAAAAGCAGAAATAGGGGGAAAAAAAGAAGAGAGACCATTTATTATGAGTGATCCTCAAATCTCAGTAGAGATTCTGTTATCAGCACATAAGATGATTAGAACAAATCTATACACCCAAACACATCTTTGACTCTATCAGTCAATCATATTACTTATATTTAAAACATTCAAATCCAGTTAAGAGGAAATAATTTTAAAAGTTTTGTTTAGAGCATATTTCCAAATGTAGACGTACACTTTTTCCTTATAACATACAAGTATAGCTTTTCAGATTTACTCTTTAAAGGATAGCTCAACCTTACTGCAAACACTATGCTTGAAATGTTAATTAAAAAAAACAAAAAACACAAGCCCTGACCAGTTTGGCTCAGTGGACTGAGCGTCGGCCTGCGGACTGAAGGGTTCCAGGTTCGATTCTGGTCAGGGGCATGTACCTTGGTTGCGGGCACATCCCCAGTAGGGAGTGTGCAGGAGGCAGCTGATCGGTGTTTCTCTCTCATGGATGTTTCTCTCTATCCCTCTCGCTTCCTCTCTGTAAAAAAATCAATAAAATATATATTTTTCAAAAGTTTTAAAAAAAATTTACTACAATTTACCCTTGGCCTAATTCCAAAGTAGAACTGTAAGAAGTCGTTATTTTTTATAAAGAGTAACAAACAAGCTTTCTTTATAGGTTGAGCCCCTCAATTTAAAAAAACATCACTTTTCACTGACTCCTTCCTAGTACAGTGCCTCTGGCACATAATATTTTCTCAACAAATACTTATTGAGAAGTGGATGAATAAATATCTGGTATCGGGCAATGAATATTAACATATCTGGTATTTCAAAATAAAAAGTTAAGAATTAGACTCTTTCAATGAAACGGATTAACTAGATTTCATATGAAAATTGAGGCGACCCTCCAGTTAAGAAAACCCTTTCCATCAGTTACTCACATTTAATACAACACTCCTGAGGCACAGATGTTATCACCCCTCATTAAACATATGAGGAAGGTGGGGCCAAAAGACTGTAAAGTCATACACTGTAATTATGAAGTAGTGGGGCCAGATTTCAAGCCTAAGTAAGTCCTCAAACAAGACATGTGTGACTGTGTTGGAAAGGGGTGTGTGAATGTTATGAAAACGATATCCCATGCTTCTCTACTTAAAAAAAGAAAACCCTCATTACAAAAACTTCAGAGGATTAATACACACGTGTACAAAATCCACAACTCTTAAAGTGTTTTGAACCCATTTAAATTAAAACAACAACAAGCGCCCTGGCTGAAGCCTTAAACGCAGCTCGACGAGAAGGCGGCATCCTTCTGCCCTTCCCTCCGGGGACCAATCAAACCGGGAGCGAAAGCATCCCCGCGGCCTGGGACGGGCTCGCCCGACCCGAGGGGGCGGCTCCCCGCCCCACTGCCCGGCCCGGCG